CCTCTGGTGTGTCTCAGGTAGACCCTCTCCCTGGTACTGTGCCTGTCGTGGTAGCTGTCGGCTCAAGTGCTGCTCGAGGTGCTGCGTATGGGGGTGCGGAGCCTGGGGTTGCTGAGTCTGAGGGTGCCGGGTCTTGGGGTGCTGAGCCTGGGGGTGCGGAGCCTGGGGGTGCTGAGCCTGCGGGTGTGGAGCCTTGGGGTGCTGAGCCTGAGGGTGTTGAGCCTGGGGGTCCTGAGTCGGAGGGTGCGGAGTCTGGGGTTGCTGAGCCTCAGGGTGCTGCTTTGTCCGGAGGTCCTGCTGGTGCTTCGCCGAGACTGTCTCCGCAGCAGCTGCTTGAGTGGCTTGTTCCGCGCGCACGCCTAAGGAGAGGAGCTACCGAAGCTGGAGGCGCTGGAGCTGGAGGTGCTGGAGTTACTGCTAAAGCTGGTGGTACTGGAGATACTGCGGCTACTGTCCTGGAGGTGCTCGTACCCGGGGTACTGGAGCTGCCGGGACTGGTGGTGTTGGGGGCGCTGGAGCTGGAGACCCTACGGGGCCTAGAGCTGCTGGAGCTGGAGGCTCTGGTGCTTGTGGCACTGGAGCTGGAGGAGCTGGAGCTGGTGGCACTGGCGTTGGTGGCGCTCGAGCTGGAGGAGCTGGAGCTGGTTGCACTGACGCTGGAGGCGTTGGAGTTGGAGGCACTGGCGCGGGAGGCGCTGGAGCTGGAGGAGCTGGAGCTGTTGACCCTGGAGGCACTGTGCGGCCGCGACCGTACTTCGTTCCCCTGCATCACCGCGGTAGGCACGGAAAGGTGCACTGGGATGCTGCAAAGAGGGTACTCCGTTACCTGTGCAGTACGTCAGGCATGGGGCTCGTGCTTGGAGGACGGGGTCCAGGTGTCCTCACTGGTCACGCAGACGCTTCTTGGGTTGACGACTCAGCTACGCAGCAGTCGTCACAGGGTTACACCTTCAGCCTCGGTTCCGGCTCTGTTTCCTGGCGGTCTACCCGCTTGTCTTCGGTTCTCAGCTCCAGTTGTGAGGCTGAGATCTACGCTGGGGCCATGGCTGCACAGGAGCTACGCTGGCTCACCTACCTGCTGACTGACTTGAGAGAGCAGCCTCGTTCGCCTCCAGTTCTGTACGTAGACAACAAGGCCATGATTGCCTTGTGTTAGGAGCACAGACTGGAGCACAGAACGAAGCACATCGCTCTGCGATACTTCCTTGCTCGAGGGTTGCAGCAGCGTGGCCAGCTTCGTCTTGCGTACGTGGCCACGAGGGCCAACACTGCTTATATATTCACCAAGGCATTTTAGCCTGGTGATCATCAGCGCTTCTCTACTGTGTTAGGCCTTGTGCCTACTTTGCCTCACTTGCTCACTGCATGACTCTGCTTGTACTGTGATCCATATATATACCTGCATGCTTACACTTGCTAGGGTATGATCAGTGTATTGTTTGTTCTCTTTTATATACCTCTGCTGTGAACTGGCCTTGTGGCCCTTTGCTTATGCTCGGACTGTGTGGTGACTTATTGATCCACCCCGAGCTTGCTTTGCTTTTCTTGACTGGTCTTGAGACCACTTGTTCTCCCCCACTTTGCCTATGGGAGTGTGTCAAAATGTTATATAGCTTATATTGTGTAGGCTATAGTGGGGTAGCCCATAAGGGGTACAAACCAATTAGGGATAGTACTTGTGCCCAACTCTTTGCTAGTTCATTCATTCTCGTTCATTCTCTTGACACCGTCGCCCCTAGGCCCCGGCCCGTCGCCCGTCGCCCCCTAGGCCCCGGCCCCGGCCCGTCGACCCCACGCCCCACGAGCTACTCCTTGCGGCCCGCCCCTCGCCTCTGCAGCCCGCGAGCCGCCCTTGTGGCCCCCTAGCCGCCCCTGCTGCTCTGCTTGCCGCCCCTCTCTGCTGCCTGCCCTGTTCCCTGCACTGCCCAGCTTCTGCCCGCCCTGCGTACTGCGCCGCTATGGCTTCTCTCCGCGTTCTAGCGTTCGATAATGAGGGCCGCCCGATCCTGTTTGACACGTGGCGTGACGACCTGCAGCTGTACCTACGGAGCGACTCTAGGGACAGTGTTTCGTTGTTTGACCACACGTCTGGTGCTGCTCTCGCCCCTCCCGCCACAGCTGACAGTGCGATCCGCTCACAGTGGCTTACTTGTGACGCTGCTGCTCGCTTAGCCATTTGCAACCACCTGCCGTTAGCCGAATGCACTCACTTCGGACAGCACAGGACAGCACAGGCACTGTACGACGCTATAGTAGCCCGTTACTCCTCGCCTGCCACTGCTGCTCTAGGCCGTCTTCTCCTGCCCTACCTGTTTCCCGAGCTGTCCGCCTTTGCCACAGTAGAAGACCTGGTTTCCCACCTTCGCACTAGCGACGCTCGCTTCCGCGCTGCCCTCCCAGCAGAGTTCCTTGACAGGAACCCGCCCCCGATGTACATCACTCTCTACTTTATAGTCACCCGCCTCCCTGACTCTCTTCGCACTGTCAGGGACCTCACTGTTGACCTACTCGAGCAGCACCTCCTTGCAGCTGAGACTAGTGAAGTCGCTGTAGGTGCCGCTCGTGGCACTCCTTGCACGCCCTTCTTTGAGGGGTGTTCCCCCTCCCCCCTTGCCCCCTCCTACGCCTCTGCTGTTGCTGTTGACGTCCTTGGTGCTGAGGATGTTGGGGCTGCTTCTGCTAGTGGGAAGAACCGCAACAGCAAGGGCAAGGGTGGCAGGGGTGGTGGTGGTGGCAGCGGGGGTGGTGGTGGGGGCAGCAGTGGAGGTGGTTGAGGCAGTGGAGGTGGTGGCGGTAGTGGGAGTGGTGGCGGGAGTGGGGGCTTTGGTGGCGGAGGTGGTGGCAGCGGTGGGGGTGGCGGGAGTGGCGGTAGTGGGAGTGGTGGTGGTCGGGCTGGAGCTACTCAGCGTGGAGGTTATGGTGGTGGCCAGAGGCAGCAGCAGCAGCAGCGTCGGAGCGAGACCCCATCGCCCCAGCAGCTTGAGTGGTTTTCTCAGCGTGGGGCGCCTGGGGGTAGTGGTAGCTGCCCGTATGTCATTCGCACCGGCGACCGTGCTGATTGAACATGCGGGAAGCCTCACACTCAGCAACACTGTTTCTCCCGCCTCGACGACGCTTGGCGTGCAGAGTTTGGTGACGAGGCCGAGCGCCCCTGGTGGGCAGAGCTACTTAGGTCTGGAGTTGCTATCTTTGACCTAGACTATGATGCTATCCTTGCTGCTATGTATGCTTTGTCTGTTAGTGCTGACGGTGACTGTTACCTGTGTGTGCCGCCTGACCCAGGTATATTTTGAAAGTAATGAACGAGGATGAATGAACTATGAAAGAGTTGGGTACAAGTACTAACCCTAATTGGGTTGTACCCCTTATGGGCTACCCCACTATAGCCTACACAAAGGAAAAGCTATAATGTTCTGACACACCCCCATAGGCAAAGTGGGGGAGAACAAGTGGTCACAAGACCAGTCAAGAAAAGCAAAGCAAGCTCAGGGTGGATCACAAAGTTACCACACTGTCGAAGCACAAGCAAAGGGCCACAAGGCCAGTTCACATGCAGAGTTATATAAAAGAGAACAAACAATACAGTGATCATATCCTAGTAGGTGAAAGCATGCAGGTATATATATAGATCACAGTACAAGCAAAGTCATGCAGTAAGCAAGTGAGGCAAAGTAGGCACAAGGCCTAACACAGTAGAGATGCGCTGATGATCACCAGGCGGAAGTGCATTGGTGAATATATCAGCAATGTTGGCCCTAGTGGCCACGTACGCAAGACGAAGCTGGCCACGCTGCTGCAACTCTCGAGCAAGAAAGTATCGCAGAGCGATGTGCTTCATTCAGTGCTCTAGTCTGTGCTCCTGACACAAGGCAAACATGGCCTTGTTCTCTACGTACAGAACTGGAGGCGAACGAGAACCGAAGACGAAAGGGTAGACCACCAGGAAACAGAGCCAGAGCCAAGGCTGAAGGTTTAACCCTGTGACGACCGCTGCGTAGCTGAGTCGTCAACCCAGGAGGCGTCTGCGTGACCGGTGAGGACAACTGGACCCCGTCCTCCAAGCACGAGCCCCATGCCCGACGTACTGCACAAGTAGCACAGTACCCTCTTCGCAGCATCCCAGTGCACCTTTCGGTGCCTACCGGGAGCCACGTAGCGAGCCAGAAGGCTGAGAGGGTACGCGAGGTCAGTTCGAGTGCAGGTCATCAGGTACATGAGGCAACCCACAAGCTCTGTGGCGATTTCGTCGCCACGCGTGCCTGTGGCGATTTCGTCGCCACGCGTGCCTGTGGCGATTTCGTCGCCACGCGCGCCTGTGGCGATTTCGTCGCCACGCGTGCCTGTGGCGATTTCGTCGCCACGTGCGCCAGTGGCGCTGTCGCCTTATTAGCCTCGACGTGCGCGCCTATTGTGCGGACGGGTGTACCCGCAAGACATTTCTGAAACGTGTGTTGTGCTATGACAATCTAGTTAATGCCTACTAGAGAGAAGTGAGCGACTGAGGAGAACGGGAAGTCGTCGGACGAGAATGAAATAAGACATTTGAAATTTCAAACGAAGACGTGGGTGGAGGCCAAATGGCCTCCACCCCCTGCTATATAGTTGGCGAAGAGCGTCTAGCACTTCACCGTTGCCATTGCTGCATTACAAGCAGCTTCGCTTTCAAAATACACATTTTTAGAAAGTGTTACACACACACTTTCAAAAAATTTCATTTACAGAAGGTTTTTACTGTCTATCTTTTGCTTTAAGCCTGAATATGTTTGCTGCTCGCTGAGAACATGTCCCAAGACCAGTGGGCACTTACGCTTGACTCAGACGACGCCGAACTTAACGAGGGCAGTTCTGCTATTGTGATCCACGAGGCAGGTGTTCCCAAGACTTACGCGGGGTATCGCACGCACAAGCGACAACGCCTTCGCGAACTTGAAGGAGCAAAACATACTGCACCAACTCGCGGACCGACATCGCACGACGAGCAAACATTTTCTCCTCCCGCCATGGAGATGGATCCCGCTTCGAACGCTGCTCCTGCGGTAGCACCTGCTGTTGCTTCCACGAGCGCTAACCCGGCTGTTCCTGAGCAGTTCAACATTCCTGAGCGCTTTAAAGGCTGGACTACTGTGGCGGTCAAGGGTTTTCGGGCGGATTTCAAATCACTCTTGAAGGCGAAGTCCAAGCTTCAGAAGATGAAGACGCTTGATGAACAGGGTGTGCTTCTTCACAGTATTCGCACCAAAGCAGTTGAGTTCCAGACGAAATACCCTTCTGTTCGGGAAAAGTCTGCAGCTTCGGTTGCTGCTGTTCATCTGGAGAATCAAAAGCGTATCCAGAAGGACTTCATCGCTTCGAAGGAGATGGAGGTCGAGGAGATTTTGGCGGCTTCTAACCTGCACGTGACGACTCTGGCGACAAAGCTTGAGGACTACCTGAAAAGTCTCTCGGAGAACCCTGACCTGGTGGTATCTGATGCTACCAGGGAGAAGTACAGGAAGATTAAGGGGGCTTGCATCGAGAAGGCGCAGTCCGACATAGCCATTGCCAGGGATGAGATCATCATCCAGGAGTTGGAACGGCAGAAAAAACGTGAAGCTGAAGATTTGAAGAAAGCTGCAGCGGCTGAGGAGATCGACAGAATGGAGCTGGATCTGACGGTCGACGCAATCGTTCAGAAGCACGTAAAGAAGGTCGAAGATCGGCTTCGCAAGGAGTTCGCGGCGAAGCTGGACAAAGAGCTATCTGCGAAGCTTCAGAAGATTACGTTGGAAAAGAAGGTTTCTCCGTCGACCACCGCCGCTGACTCTAAGCCCCAGAACAACAAGGCGAAGAAGAAGCGGGGGAAAAAGAAGAAATCTGTCACTCCTACCGACGGCTAAGGGAAGGGCCAAGCAGCACCGAAGCAGGCCCGGGTTCCAAAAAACGGAGGCGGCGGCCCCGCAAAAGGGCCGCCAAAGAAGAAGTAATGGCGCGGGATCTCGCGCTTCGTTGGTTCGGCCGTTTGACTTCACGACAAGCCATGTCGCGGGTCCGAAACAACGGAGTGCATAACCTGAGTGCTAAGGTTTTAACGACCGATGAGCGACGAGCACTCGGGATGGGATTGAAGTTCGTGCCAACGCCTACCAGGAGCCCTTCCATCGAAGCAGATCTCGATCAACTGCATCGACGGATTTCTCTTCACTTTTTCTTCAAGGATAAAGGGGATTCATCTGAGATGTCACGCTTCCGTGTGCGCAACCCAGATTGGAAACCCGATCGGGATGTTGTCCCGGAGTCGGTGTTCAGGGAGGCCCACAACGACCTCTCTTACCTTCTGAAAGCGACGACGCCACGGCGGGGTTTCAATATCTCGTCAGGAATTCGCAAGGCGTTGCGCTCCCTCGCCGCCGACTGCAGTATCGTCATCAAACCTGCAGACAAGAACGTTGGCGTCACTATCCTTGATCGGCAACACTACATCGCCCTTTGTATGGAACATCTCGGAGATGCGGAAGTGTACCAGCCGATTGAACGCGACCCGACGCCACGTGTTCTGCAGCAGCTGCGGGAGTTGAAGGTGACGTGGGGACCGGCTTTTCCAGACAGTCTCTGGAAATATTTCTTTAAGGAACCACCCGGGGGATGGCGGCCAGCTGCGTTCTACGTCTTGCCTAAGCTTCACAAGAAAGTACCCGTGGGGCGACCGATCGCTGCCTCACATTCATGGGCTACGACTAATGTGAGCAAGTGGCTTGACGCTGAACTTCGCCCGCTGGTCTTGAATCGTCCTACATACCTCCGGGATTCTCTCTCTCTGCTGACAACGCTCGAACGCACCACGTTTCCGACGACGGTACTTCTAGCGACGTATGATGTAGCCGCTCTCTACCCCAGCATTTCGATCGAGCGCGGTCTTGATGCGGTCAGCAGTTTTCTGATGAGAGAGAAACCGCAACTCACCCCACCTCTCATGGCCCTTCTGGGTTGGGTCATGAGGAACTGTTTTGTCGAGTTCGGCGGCCGGATCTTTCACCAACTACGAGGCACCGCCATGGGTACACCTGTAGCAGTTTGCTTCGCGATCTTGTTCATGAGCCGCCTGGATGAGTTACTGAAGGGGAAGTGGACCGGAACGTTACCTCTTTACCATGTGCGCTACATCGATGACGGTCTAATCGTATGGCCGGGGACGCGGGCAGATCTGGAAGCCTACCTGCGCACCTTCAATGAGCTTGATCCTAACATTCGGATTACATGGTCTGTTTCGGACTGCTCCATCGATTTTCTGGACGTGGTTCTCTTCAAGGGACCGCGGTTTAAGGAACAGGGTACTTTGGATTTCGGCACGTTTCAGAAGCCGATGAATAAGTATCTCTATCTTCCCTTTGCTTCCTTCCACCCACGGCACTGCAAGGAATCCTTCGTTCGCGCAGAATTGAAGCGGTACCTGCTCCGCTCTACATCAGCTGCGACTTTCCTCGCAACGAAGAAGGCTTTCTTCGGCCGGCTTCGTGACCGTGGTTACCCTCCTGCTTTTCTGCACCCAATCTTCCAAGGCGTCACTTTCGCTCACCGTTCGTTACTCCTCGCCACTACCATCGCTAACCAGGCGCTCCGGCAACAGATTTCTCTCCCATCCCGTGGACCCCTAGTTTTGAAGACGCAGTACACTTCGGTGTCTGCTCGTCTCGGGCTAGGGGTCCTTTTGAGTCGACTCAAAAATCGACTCACTACACGCGGATTATATGTGGAGAGGTTTTTTGTTGCATGGCAAATTGGTTGTAACCTTAACAGGTTTCTGGTACGCGCGCGACTTCCACAGTTGCTGCCTGGCGAAGATGCGAATTCGAACTTCAACGATGACGCTCCAAGGATTGAGGACGTGGCCACCTGAGAAATTTCCAAGGGTGAAATTTTCAAGGGTGACTTCTACTGGTCCCCGGATTTCGGGCTGACCTGGTGTAGATAACCTAGAGATCAGTTTTTCCGAGGCTTCGTTTCTTCTTGAAGCGTAGCTTAGCTCTGTTTTCTTTCATTAGCACTGATGAAGGCCTGCTAGGGTAGCCCCTTAACGGCCGAAACATGTTTGTTTTACTCTACTGTTGAAGTTCTTGAGCTCGGATTGTTGAGATCTTAGTTTTACAGAAGGTTTTTACTGTCTATCTTTTGCTTTAAGCCTGAATAAGTTTGCTGCTCGCTGAGAACATGTCCCAAGACGATATTATACAGTAGTACCGTAGTACCTACTAAACATGCACATGCCTGCAGGGCAACACTAACATACCGTAAACAATACTACTGGAACGTCCCTCTTCATCTGCCAGACATGCATTATTGCGTATCCCCACAAGAAAAATGAAGAGCTACACTAGCAGAAAGCAGCAGAGAATCATCCCATCTCTAAGGGTGTGAACGGGTGTTGCACAGTCTAGATGACGGCAGCAGTCTGGCACTCGGTGGTGTTGGTCATGGAGTAGCTGTTGCCGTTGCCGAAGCGCAGATCCTGCACGCAGGGCCGGAAGTCCCCCGTCCACGCATACACAATGTTCACCGTCCACGCATACACACAATGTTCACCGTCCACGCATACACACAATGTTCACCGTCCACGCATACACACAATGTTCACCGTCCACGCATACACACAATGTTCACCGACCACGCATACACACAATGTTCACCGTCCACGCATACACACAATGTTCACCGACCACGCATACACACAATGTTCACCGTCCACGCATACACACAATGTTCACCGACCACGCATACACACAATGTTCACCGTCCACGCATACACACAATGTTCACCGTCCACGCATACACACAATGTTCACCGACCACGCATACACACAATGTTCACCGTCCACGCATACACACAATGTTCACCGTCCACGCATACACACAATGTTCACCGTCCACGCATACACAATGTTCACCGTCCACGCATACACAATGTTCACCGTCTCCCCGGAGAGCATCTGCAGAGTGCCGCTAGCACCGCGGTTCATCTGCATCTCACAGTACCCCGGTGTGGTCTGCACGAAGATGTCGCCTGTCTGGTATTGCGTGAGGTTGGGCTCGGGTTATTTAGTTAGGTTGTGCAGGTCGTACGGCCCAAGGTACTGCGAGCGGATCGTCACCGTCGTGCACCCACACGCTGGACAGAGAGGAGGGGGGAAGAAGGCTGGGGGTAAGCGGGAGGGAGGGGGCAGAAGTGGGGCTAGGTTGTGCAGGTCGTACGGCCCCAGGTGCTGTGACCAGATTGTCACCGTCGTGTGCCCACATGCTGCAGGCGAGGGAGTAGGGGAGGAAAAGAAACAGAAAAATGTAAGGATTCCGATCGTCACCGTCATGCCCCCACATGCTGAGAGGAGGGAGGGGGGAAGGAGGTGAGGAAGGAAAACAGAACGAGTTAAGGATTCTGGCCGTCACTGTTGGGCATTGGTCGCTGGAAGAAAGGAATTGGGATGGAGAGAGGGAGCAGTGGGTTCGACACAACCATTCACATCGTCCAGGGGGAGGAAAAGGAAGCAGAGACATGAGAGGCACGGGGAGCAGAGACATGAGATGCACGGGGAGCAAAGACATGAGAGGCACGGGGAGCAGAGACATGAGAGGCAGGGGGAGCAGAGACATGAGAGGCACGGGGAGCAGAGACATGGAGGAAAGGGGATGAAAGAAGTGAGAGCCACGGGGAGAGGAGAAATGAGAGGCAAGGGTTGCATTGACAGCAGTGGGAGGAAGGGGAGCAGCAGCACAAAGAGACCAATGCGGGTAGAGCAGGAGTGAAGGGGAGCAGCAGCGCGTACTGGTGGCGAGGGCCTGGCGGCGGGGGATGTGGTCGAGGTAGCCGGGCAGAGGTGCGTGGTGAGCAAAGGTCTCAGCCACCAGAATGTGCGCGCCCTTGATCTGCTGCTCCGCCCCGCCGGCGCTGCTGCCACCAGCACTGCTGCCTGCCTCTCCAGGGACCACCCCCCTCGCTCCACTCATCATGTCCCTCGCTGCAATCGCTGCCGTCGCCAGCAGCCCCACTTCGATCGCTGCCAGCAGCAGCACGCGGATTACGCTCACCATGAGGTGTTGTGAGAGAGCTTGGAAGAAATGGAAGGCGGCTGGTGACGGCTGTTCAGGTTTTCGAGTGGACTCAAGAATGAGGTGTTCAGTGAAGAGAGAGAGAAGAGCAGACTAGAGCTGCGGACAGGAGCTGATGGATTCGTGAGAGCCATGGCGGTGGCTTTATAGGCAAAGGTAGGAGGCGAGACGCGGAGAGGCATGCTGCGGAGGCTGTAAGGAGAGGATCGCGCCTCGTTGGATGATGGGTGGCGCGGAGGAGGGTCTACCTCGGGGTCTGAGGAGTCTGAGGAGTCTGAGGAGTCTGAGGAGTGCAAGGAGCTACTCGAGGCGCGATGCTGTGTAGGAGGCAGAGGCGTGGGTGGGAAGAGAGGCGACGATTGCGACGAAGAGTCCATCGCATTCGTCGCTGATTGCTTCGCGAATGCCGTTGTCGTTATCATCACCACGAAGAGTGAAACTATCGGTGGACCCGGCAGCGCGGACGCGGCTTTGCATACGATTCGTTCCAACAAGTTGGGAAGGTTTCAATGGGGTCCCGCGAGGGTTTCGTGAGGGTCACCTCTGTTAGAAACTAGAACGAGAATGAATGCATTGAACAGAAGTTGGGTACAAGTACTAACCCTAATTGGGTTGTACCCCTTATGGGCTACCCCACTATAGCCTACACAAAGTAAGCTATATAACATTTTGACACACCCCCATAGGCAAAGTGGGGGAGAACAAGTGGTCACAAGACCAGTCAAGCTTCAGGCACACCTGGCAATCGGCTGGCAGGTGTAGCAGTGCCAGGCAGCTGGTGGTTAAAAGGGCCGCTGAGTCAATCCACCCTCACAATGATGCTTTATCTTCAGAATGCACCGCACTGCACCATGCTGCACCGCACACCACTGTGTGCTCGTCTACCTTC